TTGTTAACTCCCGCTAGTACTCAGTTCGTGAGCGCACAGTTCTTTTCCTATCATCCGAATCCTGTCAGTTTTTCCTGAACGGTTTTCCCCTCAAGTTCTTCAGAACCGCATTACTTGTCAACCGCGTCTCTACCCGAGCTCAGATGAACTCCGTCCTTCTCTTCATCATCAGTCCGAGCCAACGTAACCAGAAACGTTCTGTGACCTGCCACTTGCCATAGATGGATTGAAAGCTGGAAATCCGGGGCGGCCCGCTTGTCTCAGTCTCAGACAAGAAAAGCAGAAGGGGGAGGGGGGGAAGGAAAGCCGCAAGCACGGAGCTTGGGCCGCTTACTCGAAGCCAGGGGTAGGCTATTATGGGAGACTTTGCAACAACACCGACATCAAGCTTCAGATGACGCCTAGGGGCAGAGCTTAAAACATGTGTATTCCCGACCTCGCAGATCTCATTCGACCTCGGATCCCTTCCCCCGAAGTCTACCACTATGCAACAGTCGGGCACCGATGCCACGCCGTGAGGAGAGGGGAGAAATTCTCCGCCGCCTCCCGAATCACCCAGGACCTGGACGGGCGCCTGATCAGCATTGCTAATATTACCAGCAGCCCGGTAGGTGTTTGCGTCCCCTTTCCTTAGGTCCCAACTCAAACCGGTTTCTCAACACCATATTGTGTGTATATGTGTATGTGTTACCAAATCCACTCATTCCTCACCTCATAGGGCGTCCGATGCGGAGACATTCCGTTGCCCAGCCCGGTCGGGAAGACTACTCCTCCCATCGACGAAGGGTCTCATTCTCACCAACAATGATCAGCGCGGTAACATCCCCCGTCGCGAGCACCATCACGACAGCCAGCACCTCATCCTCCGGCACCTCAACGGCCAAGAGCCACAAGAACAGCCTCGTGATCCACAGCCTCACTCCCATCTCGCCGTCGTTCCCGCTCCCGTTCAGACTGACAGACGTGGACCTACTCCGCCGCGATTGCCACATCCACGGCGAATGGGTCTCCTCCCTCAGTAACAAACGATTCGCGGTCCTTGACCCGGGCACCGGTCGCGTATGGGCGACATGTCCGGATAGCACCAGAGACGACGTCAACCCCGCTGTCAAATCCGCCTACGTCGCCTTCCAGGGCTTCTCGAAGCATACCCCGGCTCATGAGCGCGCTCGCCTCCTGACCTCATGGCATCATCTTATCCTCGCTAGCCGCCTCGACCTGGCCACGATTCTGGTTCACGAAACAGGGAAGCCGTTGACCGAGGCCCTCGCCGAAGTAGACTACGGCGCTGGTCTCGTCCGCTGGTTCGCCGGCGAAGCAGACCGATTGGAGCCGCCGCCACCGCCGCCTCCACCACCGACAACAACTCCACAATTACCGTCGCCGGCCGCATCCCGCGTCTCCTCCCCCACATCCGACGATGACGGCGCCGTCCCCGCTTCGACACCCGCAACCAGCGCGTTCCCAAGAAAGCGCGGCGCGCTCCTCAAGCAGCCCATCGGCGTCGTGCTCGCCCTGGTGCCATGGAGCTTCCCTCTCGCCCTCACCCTCCGCAAAGCCGCAGCAGCTTTGGCGGCTGGCTGCACCGTCATCGTCAAACCATCCTCCGAATCCCCGCTCACGGCCCTCGCCCTCGCCTGCCTCGCCGACCGCGCGGGCTTCCCCGCCGGCGCCATCAACGTCCTGACGACGAGCCTGGGGAACACGCCCGTGGTGTCCGAGGCGTTGTGCATGCACCCGCTTGTCAAGGCGGTGAGCTTCACGGGCAGCGCGCGCGTCGGGAAGCGGGTCGCCGCCTCGTGCACGCGGAACCTGAAGCGCCTGTCGCTCGACCTGGGCGGCAACTGCCCGGCCGTCATGTTCGACGACGCGGACCTCGGGCAGGTGGCCAAGGACCTGGCGGCGCTGAAGTGGCGGCACGCGGGGCAGGCGTGCGTCGCGCCGAACCGGTGTTACGTGCAGCGGCGGGTGTATGATGTGTTTTCCACGCTGCTGGTGGCGGAGGCGTCGAAGCTCAAGGTCGGGCACGGGATGGCCAAGGATACGACGCTGGGCCCCCTGACGACGATTCGCGGGCTGTACAAGGCGGAGGCGCTATGCAAGGACGCGACGGAAAAGGGGGCTGTCAAGCTTCTCGGCACGGGAAGGCGAGAGCCTGGTGACGGATACTTCATGGCGCCGACTGTGCTGGGGAGTATGACGGACTCGATGCTGATGTGCCGGGAGGAAGTGTTCGCCCCCGTGCTGGGCCTGTATGTGTTCGACACGGAAGACGAGGTTGTGATGAGGGCGAACGACACCCCTGTCGGCTTGGCTGGCTACGTCTTTACGAAGAATAACGATCGTTTGTGGAGGATGTTTGATCGGCTGGATGCCGCAGTTCTAGGAATGGTAAGTTGACGCACGCTCTGTTGCTTTCCCGGCAAGATATGATCCATCACCTTCCAAGTGTGCAGGTGGCTAATTGTACTTCATAGAATACGGTCTGCTTGGTGACAGAAACCCCCGTACCTGCTTCAAATAATGGGAACGGATACACACCGGCACAAGCTACGGCCTTGGATGAGTTTCTCGTCACAAAAGGTGCTGCGATGTCTCCTTCGTAGCCTCTTATTATTTTTGAAACCAGTGTAGGATAGTGCGATCGCCTTCTTTGTTTCCTTGTTTTGACACACAAATTAGAGCTACCGGATCAGGTCGTGGAGTTGAGGTGTTGGACACGTGTGGTTTTGTTAATGAGGACATGTTCGTCGAAGCTTCTTGTGTGGTATAAACAAGTACGTGGCTCGGGTATTAAAAGAATGATTTATGACGCTGCAGCTATCTTTGCGCACTCGTGTCCATTAAGCATCTCAAACGTAGCAATTCGGTGTGTCTTTCGTGCGGTGGACTCAATCGCGAAATAGTGTGTGATGACTTTCGTGTTGCAATGAAGCTGAACGAACTTGAGGCGATAGAGAAATTACGAAGGACTTGGGGAGTAGCGTAATATGAGCTGCAAGAGCCGTACATGGCATATTGAGGCCTGTATTACAAGCGTACTCGACAGCGGTCACTTGTGCGGAGGCTCGCGTAGTACTTTTGTTACCAACTTGCATACATTATGAAATATGAAATCCCACTCCAAAAGCGCGCCACGGAGTCACCATGTCTAAATCAAGATGATGATTCGAGAAAGGATTATAGCCCTAAGATGACTGTCGATTGACTAGCCATGGAGGCAGTATCTGGGTCAAGGAGAACCTGAAAGATGGCGTGTCATTGTCTAACCTACCGATTGACTCGCGCTATGAGAACATTGCCTCGTTCATCCCCCTTTCTGCTACAACTGTCTTTACTGCTTCAACTGTCCGTAAAATGATCTGTATCCTCGATTATCTGGAGCATACGATTGGAGTTTTATACGGAGAATGAAGAAGTTCAAGAACATCATGATGTTGGCGTTGACAAAAGCAGCATAAATTTACACCTTGTACTTCTAAAGTGAAAGATTGTACGTTCCGTGCCTAGCCCGTTTGATAGAGAGCATACAGTATTCGGAAACGTATCGTAGCATAATCTTGAGGGCCAACGTTACAATGATGGGCGGTAGGCTTTTAAGCTATTCCACGTTCAAACCAAAGGGTCTGCTTCCCGTTTTTATATCTAGATAGGAACAATGCGTAGTGGATGAACCATCATACTCAAAAGGTATCCTCCTCTCGACTTAAAGGGCGGCAGTAGACCTGTTGCAAAAACTTTCGGTATATCACGTGGGTGCCTATTGCCTCCTGCCGTCAAATTCCCGTAGACTCCACGGAACCATGAACACACGAGAACGAATCACTACATCGGGAAGCCCATATAGGTCCCGTCGATTCTGATTCCGTCACCAACGGCAGCAGGCGCCTCACAGGCCTGTGAGGTCAGGTCAAACTGCCGTTTGGCGGGATGGTTACGGGCGAGCCTCGTCGACTGGCTTAGCCTACACTAGGTTCCAGGTTCGAGTCCCGGCATGAGCACCAGAGATGTAGCCCCCGTTCGCCACCGGGGGGGTGAACTCTTTTGACTTCTCCAGCCTTTTTTTTCTTCTTCTTCTTCTTCTTCTTCTCTCCCCCTCTCTTCTAATACACGGGAATACAAGAGTGTGGGGTGCGCTATATGCTGATTCACCTCGGAAAATCTCAATAACAGCAAGAAAGGGAAAGTTGCCCAGAAGACGAAGAAATTCGTAACCCAATGCTGGGAGCAGATTTACCGGGCTGTAGCTTGTGGGTTCGGATTCCACAGGCGCCTTCTTTTATCTTTCTTCCTGGTACTGTTTGATGCTCTTTTAAGCCCCCCTTTCTACTTAGTCATTCTTGCAAGCTGCCATATCTCTCTCTCAGCGTTTCTTGTGAAGCGCCTTCTTGTCCTTGCCTTTGGCGCAAAACTGGGTATGGACCCCAGAAGTCACGATGATATGCGGCTTTTATAATTTCGGAGATCGGGAACGCATGGATGGCTTATCACACAGCCCATGGTCTGAACCAGGAGAAAGCAGAACGGGGGTGCGTACGTATTTGGAAGATACTCGAATCTCACAGAACATGCAACATTCCCATATCGCAAGACTCATTTTGCCAGTTGAGGTCGTGTTTGATGGGCAAATGATGAATTTCAATTCTCCATGGAGTAGTCCTGCAAAGGCCCAAAGTCACGTACACACATCGTTTTGAACATACAAATCTTAGTACAAGCTGACATCGTTACTCGAAATGGCTCAGAATTGTCCGAGAACATATTCGTATATCAAAAAGGCTACAGTGATCGGTACAAGATATATTTACAGATAGGCATGGCGAGTGAAGGAAGACTGGTGGACGCATAAAGTCCAATGGCACAATTGATATTTATGTATTGATTGAAACGATGAAGCCTTCTTTACCAAGCCACCCAAACTCCACTTTTGATGCACAGCGTACGGAAATATTCCACCACATATTGACTACTTACAATACCAGGTCTTCCATCTCTTTAATCTACATATCCTTGGAGCGCATCTTCTTGAGACGCAGTCCACCCTCAAAGACACCGCGGTCAACAGCAGCGGCGACGGTGAGAGTGCCGCCAATGATGGCACAAAGGCCGGTCAAGAAACCAGTGAATGTCTTGGCGCGCTCTTCGCGGTTGATGACCTTCATAGGAGAAATATCCTGGACACGTTCGTGTGAGTGAAGGAAGTCGAGGACGCGGGTATGGAGGAACTTACGTAGGAAAAGAAGACTCCTGGGATACCGCCACGAGAGTGGAGGCGTTCCTGGTGTCCTTCGGCAGAGTCATCGCCGCCAGCCAAGCTGCGCTTGTGGCTCGTGACGGAGTATTGGTGAGTCTCGACGCTGCCGTCACTTCCCTGGCCAAGAAGACCGAGGCCAGAGTTCTCCTCCTCGGGGTTGGATCCCTTCTGCCAGTTGAGAGCGAGGTAGGAGGTAGGCACGATCTTGACAAAGTACATGAAATTGTAGTTGGGATCGTTGGTCTCCTGGTGGGTGTTGTCGAGAGGGTTACCGTGGTGGTTCGTCCACGCAGCGGCGCGCTTGCCCATCTTCTTGGTAACGGTGTCAGGCAGCTGGGGGCCGAAGCGCAGGGAGTGAACAGTGTGAGTGAAGTCGTGCTGGGCATCGGAGGGGGTGTCCCAGTAGTTCTTGAGGTCGTGGACGTGCATGTTTCCGTTGCTGAAACTGCGGCCAGGGGCAAGGTGGAAGTTTCCGACGACCTTGTTGACGCGCAGGTTACCCTCGATACGGCAGCCCTCCTGGCGCTGCTCCTCCAATCGCTCGGCGTAGTGCTCGCGCGTGCACTGCTCGACGTTCTCGCCCTTACCGAAAGCCCACGAAGCCTGCGCGTACGCCTCTCTGACTTCCTCGCATGTGTTGCAGCATCCGGCCTTTTGCGCGTTCGCCGGTGACGGGGCGCCATAACAGGGGCCGCAGTAGTTGGGGTCCAGGTGCTCAGCAGCCTCATCACGAGAGTGACTGCCGGAAGGTGTTAGAAAAAGCTCCTCGGCAGGAGGCGACATTTGCAGTTACTTACAGATCCAGGGCCTTGATGTCAATGACACCACCGCCCTCCTTCTGGGGACGAAGGCGAACCTTGTTAATACCGTGCTGAACGCCGTGCTGTTGCTCGCCAGAAACATCCATGACGTCCAGGGTGAGGAGCTCGCAGGGCATCTTGGGGAAAGTCATGTTGAGATGGATCTCCATGCGCTCGCCTGTTACCGGGTACACATTAGCTCCTACTGCCCGTACAGATTAGGAGAGACTGCCAGGGCTTCATACCTCTTCCCTTGTCCACGATCAACTCGGGGTGGATCTCTATCCTCCGGTAGTCAACCCATTCTCCCCAGGCCAGCCAGAAGACCACGATCAGCGACACGATAGTGACAATTCCACCAGACGTCGTGCGGATGCGTGCTTCGTCGACTGTCTTTGTGAAGGCGTCGAGCCTTGTGAATCTCGATTTTGCCGGCATGGTGAGTTCGGAGGGAGGAGTGTGTTATCAAGAGCTGTCGATCTCTATCGCGAGTTTGGGGTAGCCTCGTAAGCGTTGTGAGAAGAATCAACGGGAGTAGGCCAAAAGTCGTACTTTCGCAACAATGCGCCAAGCAGAATAACGCTAAAAGGAGTGGCGGAGAGGTAAAAGGTGATATCAGGAAGTGAGAGACCCCGCCTGAACCATGAGAAGAGAAGGTCGACGCGAGAAAGTCGAGTTGCAAGCAAGGTAGGAGGATTGGATCTCACAAAGCCTTGGGAGTTGCGCAAATCCAAAGTAAAGTAGAGGCCACCTTCACTCGTTTTCTGGCCACGCAGCCCGTCCACGGTCCAGCTCTCAATTGCGCTAAAGGTGCATCTTGTCAGGGGTCTCGTACGGGGCGGGCGGGTCCGGGTCCCTGGGTAATTGTCGGCCGTTGGCCAATGGAAGATGCCGTTAGACCACTAGAAGCAATCCAGAATCAGATGGCTCGTGCTTAAGCTGCGCGGTTCCCGTCCCCACTGTAAAATCCCAGCCTGGTAGTCAAGGCTGGAGAACGCAGTGCTTTCTGATCCAAAAGGCAACCTCCAAGAAATCATCACCGTTGCGCCGCCCTTCGACTGAATCAAATTGATACCCACGACACTTTAAATCGAGGATTCGATACCGAAAGAAGAGAACGCTGCGAATTTTTCAACGAACGCGATACCCAACGTCCCTTTGACCGCCTTGGCGAGCGCGTACTGAGCGAGTCTTGTGTGCCGACCATCGCACCTTCATACCGTGATGTCGAAGCCGCCTTCCAGAGTTGTCTTCGTGGGCAATATCCCCTATGGTAGGAACGAATTTCCCACAAGACTCTATGTATCTAATCAATTGTCCTAGGCCTTTCCGAGGAGCAGATCAGCGACATCTTCAGCAGCGCCGGCAAGGTCCTCAACTTCCGCCTAGTCTACGACCGCGAGACCGGACGGCCCAAGGGTTTCGGCTTTGCAGAATATCCAGACAATGGTATTTCTCAGGAGAACCCTACTGCTCTTAGAATCTAGACTTGACTGACTATGCGGCGCAGACTCCGCAGCATCGGCTGTCCGCAACCTGAACGACTATGAGATTATGGGAAGGAAACTTAGGGTCGACTTTTCCAACGAGGGCGGCAGTGACGACAACAATGATAGCCACGGACACGTACGTATAGAGGTACAGCCCGGCATTTGAAGTTGGAATCTGACAATGGAAACAGGGCCGAGATGGCGGCAACCCCTCCCACGCCTCGAACGGATACAACCCTGTCGCGCCGCCGATGCAGTCGAGTACGCTGCCTCCTCTCCCAGCCGGCAAGGAGCTCCCCCCGAACGTCACAGCAACCGACGCCATCTCACGGACTCTCAACACCCTTCCCCCGTCTCAACTCCTCGATATCCTCACACAGATGAAGGCGCTGGCCTCTACCGACCCCGCCAGGGCGACGGAACTTCTCCAGCAGGCACCGCAACTGGCATACGCCGTCTTCCAGGCTCTCCTGCTCATGGGTCTGGTGTCTCCCGAGGCGATCCACTCCGTCATCGAGCCTGGCGGCGCGCCCCCGGCGCCCCCACCGCAGGCCGCGCCGATCGGTTACCCGCCACAGCCCACCCCCGGCTTCCCGCCGGTCCCCGTGATGGGAGCTAACAACACCCCGCCTGTCGCCGGCACGCCGTACGCGCCTCCCCCGCAGCAAGCTCCCTATGGCGCACCCCCGCCGGTTGCTGCACCTCTGGGTCAAGACCCCGACGCTCTCATGCGGCAGGTTATGGAACTGCCGATGGAGACGATCAACATGCTCCCCGAGGCAGAGAGACAACAGATCCTGGCGCTCCGCGCAAGCTTTGGTGGACAAAGGCGATGAGCATGGTATACTTGCCCTGGTGCATGTGCGAGCTGTGGTGTTCAGCTTACGAGCTTGACATCGCTTGGAGCAACCCAGGACTACTATTTTTGGGCAGACACGTCACTCTGATCGATGGTGAAGACTTGAGATTGAGAAGATGTGGGGTCCCCCCACGTCCACAGCTTCTATACTCACTCCGAACATCCGACCTGGCTCATGGTAACGAAACGGAACCTTGCGGATGGTTGCTTCGTGAGCAAAGAGGCTCATACGAAGCTATTCTTAGAGGAAAGCTACCCTTGGAGGGACCAGATGAGGGGCTCAATGGGGTCTTTGCCAGATAATTGCTCCTCCAACAACCACCTTAACCACTCTACTTTACTCACCCAAATCATCGCAAAACGACTTTCTACCGATTATTTAGCATCCGAGCCTCGGTAGGGCCTGAAAAAACACGGGCGTGTGGGGAGGCCGGAAGGTGGCGTTGAATGATGGATGGCGTATTTTTTGAGAGCTGCGCCTCGATTCCCAGCAGTGGCGGGGCCGAAAGGTCTTTTTTGTGTTTTCTAGCAACCAGGTTTTTCTTCTTCTAGAGTGCGGACGAGGCAGATCACGAGGAACAAAAAAAAAAACCAACGCGGCCAAGTCTAAATATACCACACTTTACACTCGAAAACGAGCTGAGCATCTTGTTCAGCTCAGAGAAAAACTTTATTTACTTTCCGGTGTGCCGTTGACGCAAGCTAGTGGGGGGAGGCGAAAATTGACGACGAGACCGGCCACCTGGCCAACAATGGTTTGCTGCGGCTCATGGAAAATGCGACGTGATGGATAGGTAGGACAATTATAGCACATCTTTGCCACGACCTTTAGCTGTAGAACAAACAAGATCACTTTTGTAAACGGTTTCAATTCATTGCCGTCCATCCGTCTTAAACGGCGTGTGGCTTTGATACTCTTTGCAAGATGAGATAAGAGATATATACCAAAAAAAAAAAAAATAGATACCGGGACAATGTTTTTTCTTAGGGGGGAGGGGAGTGGTGTATCTGATACCGACAAGCAACTCTAAATGGCAAAGAAAGATGCCCTGTAAGGCGACTGGAGAAGCTGGGTTTCAAAACGCCTACAGAAACAGGTTTCTACTGATAGGACAAGTTGACTGCACATTCGTACGGGTGTAGAATGCTGGGTGGAGCAGCACTCCGCGGCGGACAGGATTTGGCCGTGATGGGACTGAGTTTTGTCTGCAGAGAGTAAGTACTTTACTCAAGATATCTCATGCATCGCACCCGGTCTTCCTGGCCTTGGCAGAGGTATATGCCGGGGCCTAGCGAGGAGGGTTTTACATCAGACATTGGATAGCGAGTATCTTCGACTTCCCGAGTTCTCATTCGCCGCCGCCCGCCGCCGCGTACATGGCTGCACTCAAGGTGAAGGGAGAAGGGGGGGGGGGGGGGGAAGGGGTGATATCATCTTTCTGTGGCAGTTATCACCATGCGCGCCACAGTGAGTCGTGACCAGACGAGAGAACTTCATGCCGCCAAGGAAGAGAGGCTTGCTTTGTGTACTGTGGTATGGGGTGCGATTCGGTGGGATGAATCGGCAGCTGTAACCGGGGGCCCATCCTTTCAAAAATCATGTGGCTTGGTCACCTTGGCCGGAATGGTGGGAGTTGGCAAGCGAAAAAAAAAGATGGGACGAGATACGCTGAAGTCTGAACAATGTTGGACGGAATTGCAGTGAAGTTCTAGACCTCCCCTAACGATTAACGACGTCCATCGCTAGAACTTTAGTTCGCCACTCCAACACCACCCGCCGCATCGCGGCCGTGTTCGATGCGGTACACGAGCCACGCGAGCAGTCAACCCTCGTATTGGAAAAAAAGAGTGTCCAAGAAATGTGGTGCTCTGTGGGTGGCCCCATTCGTGCTTCTGAGTCGGGAGCGAAACAAGCCACTTGTCTCACAGAAGCTAGAAGCCCATCGGGAGGGTAACGTCGTTCCTGAATCTTTTGCACTTTGCATGCAGGGGATTGTGGAGGAGGACGGAGAAGAAGGAAAAAAAATGGGGGAGGAGGAGTTCTTTTTGTCAGAGAATGTCAATGGGCAGAACATCCGAGTCCGTAGTGAATGCGCCGTAGGAGCTGTGTCTCCCTATGCATTCGTGCCACACTCTTGTGTGGGAAAAGGAGGAGAAAATTGACCTTTCAGAAAAGGAATGATTTTTTTTTTACTCACATGGCGGAAGCTGCAAGTTTGGGGAGTATTCACGTTCTATCATTGGTCGCGTCCACATAAACCGTTAAAATGGGTTCATCTGAGGGCACCCCAAGTGCAACGAATGAACGAACGACAGAGGCACCGACAGAAGGGATGATGGCCGCAGGCTGAAACGACCTGACAGGTTGTTATACATACACGGTATAGTACCGTAAGTCTGATGGTTGTTGAAAGTTGTCAGTGACATTGAGTTGTGAATGACGAGCATGGATACAGCCGAAACCCCGGATACTCAGGTAGAGACCGCGGCTGGCAATGATGGGACCGCGCATCTTTGCGTATTCTTCACATCTTTTGCAGAGGTAGCCGTCAACTGAAGTGTGCTCGTTAATTGGTGCATCGTCACGGCTGCTTTTGGGTGTTTGTTGACGCGGCCTCCAGGATCGACGTGGGAGTGAGCCGCCGTGTAATTTCCCCAGCCGAAAGAAGGTTGAGTTTTGTAAATTTCCCGTCCTTGAATTGGCAGTCCATGCAGGTCATATGTTGGCAGAGAAATTTTCGAGGTGTAATCCTCCGTGACTCCGTACCGTCTTGGGCAGTCTTCCTTCTTGGTTCTTGCCGGGGAAACAAAAAAGAAGGGTCCCGGACCATGCCCCATAGACCATAGCAAGGCTATTGGCAATTGCAGCGGCACTGCATGTTGCAACGTCGCACTAATAAGGTTGTATGTATCCATAGGAAGAAGGTCGTAATGAGCGCGGTCCCCAAATGGCACATGTCTTACCTGCTGTAAGGTACTCCGTACGGATAGGTACCAATATCGAGTACCAAAGTAGACGAGAAAGCAATTCAAAAGTTCAAAAGAAGGTTTTCCGACGATGCTTCGTACTCTGTTGGGTCATGGGATGAGCCAATGAAACGCGGGGATGACTTCCCAATCCAGGGGCATCACGCTGCAGAGAGCGGGAAGCGAAATAATTAGAGCCCCCTCGGAGTGGAGGAAAAAGGAGGGCAGGCGGCAGGCGGGACATGTGCCATGTGGGATTCGAGAGAAAATTGGGAGGGAAATAAATGATGCTGACAGGCTTGGAGCGGATATGAGAGGGGATGCTATCGTCCGTGAGGCCATCGTCGATTCGTCATGTGCGACCTATTGGTTTCTGCTTTGATTGTTTATGTTGTTCTGGACCGTCGCTCCGTGGCATGTGGCTCCGTTTCTTGGGGGGGGGGGGGGGGGGGGGGGTGGGTGGGGGGGGGGGGGGGTGGGCGGTTGCTGTGTTTTGGTTTTGTGGCTCTTTTTTTTTTTTTTTTTTTTTTTTTGTTGTGTTTGCCCCCCGTGGGGGTGGGGTGGGGGGTGTGGGGGGGGGGGGGGGGGGGGGGGGGTTGCCAATTGGTCTATTTTGGCGTCCGTTCCTTTGTTGTTGATGGGGCTGCTTGCTGGGAAGTTGCTGCTCAAGCCCTTCCAGCATCCAGGTCGAACCGTCAAAGACCCAAGGGTGCGTTCCATTGGGGGTTCTCCCGTTGACGAGTGATTCGCGAGTGGACGGGACCGACGATCAAGACGACACATCGCCATGTCTAGTTGATGGAGGATGCTCCGTAGCAGCTCCGTAAATCTAGAGCTGGCGTCCGTTAGTGTAAACGGTTAGGCTGGGTAGGTGGAAAGGTACTGGACGGTGGGCCTTTAGCAGTAAGATAATCTCCATCGTGGACATGGACAGTCGTCGCACAACAACATTTTGCACAGCAACGATGCGGATAGCTGTTTGTGCATAACAGCGCCCGGCCGTCTTGGTAAGGTAGGCCGAGAAACAGCAGGGAAGAGATGTTGGAGAGGAAGAGAAGAACAGAGTTGTGTGGTGTTGCGCCAGGCGTTGATCTCTCGATGAATGGTCCAGATTTCTGGCGCAGCGTGTTCTAGCCTGGGTCTTCGCCCGTGTTAGTGCAGCGACAATGTTACTAAAGTTAGGTCTCCTGGCCATCCGCTAATAAGGAAATGGAATGGAATGACGAGAAACGCACTTCAGTCCGGGGCAGCGTGCGGATACCTCGTATGCACTATTCCCTCCCCTCTAGCTACCTAGCATAGTGCTCAGTGCGTGAGTGCCCTAGTAAAGCCCGGGCATGGGAAGAGCTCCGTCAGGTTCAGGACAGCTCAGAAGAAAGCTGAGTCGAGGATGCCGCTAGAACGGCTCTTGCTTAGATGGGCAGTGATGAGCGACACCTGAAGCCTGGAGCCTGAGGGAAGAGGCTGTTGCGCTTCCTACATGCCTATCTGTTAAAGTTCCTCCCATCCCGCCCGGGAATGCCTTAGGTGCTTAAAGTAGGTTGACGGCTGGGCTATTCTGGGCGATTCTTATTGCTGCAGGAACTGTACTCCGTACTCTAAACCGGGAAGAACGAGAAGGAAGCGGCAGTGGAAGCGGGAATGACCGGTGGCAGGGCTGTTACTTCCAGGCTGAAAAGCTGTTGCTTCCCATTCCAACTTCTGGCCAACAGACTCGGGAAGGTACGAACCGAATACCTTACCTGCCAACTCACACCATAGATGATACAAAAAAACCGCGATTCCATGATTCTTAGGTAAGGCACCTCAGGTAACCTCTATGTTGAAGAAGGAAAGGCATTCCCTTTGGTCTTTCTTTCTCCGTTCAGTGTGGCAACTGGCGACACGAGATCATCACCTCATACCAAGGTGCGAAAAGGAAGCGCAGCTTCCGTACCGAAGATGGTTGTGTCCTTTGCCGTTATGCATGTCAAAGCAAGCCCACCTGACGTGCTCTACGATCTACACCCACCGCATCTTTCATCATGGCAACGAAGGACGTACATAAACTCATGAATTAAGGTACAGGCAGGTGCAGAGACGAGAGGTACGGACAAGGCATACACTCCTGCTATGCACCTAGGCGCGGCTCCCACGTTGACCTGAAGATGACTATGCCTTAGACTCTCACGTATGTTGACGACCAAACCGAGCGCGTACCTGACTGAGCATTGAATATCAGCCATACCTAAGGTAGACTCACGTATAGTATACAGTCCCGGGCTGCTGATTGCCACCGAACCTCGGGTCACAATGTCCAAGCCACCTACACAATCGGCGTGAACGTGGTCGTCGACGGTCTAGAAGGAAAACGGAGTGTGGCGCGCTACCTACCTTACGATTTGCTACGGACGACGACGCATTGGCATTAATGAACAAGGTGACAGCGACAGAGAAGAACTGGAGACGTCCCCGTTTCCAGTTGAAGCGCAGGGTCGCAAGAGGTCGCAGGGCCAGCCGCCACAGGGCTTCAAAGGTTGAAGGAGGGGCGTCACGGGCGGAAGTAGAGACCTTGCACCTTGCAGGGCCAGCAAGCAGGGATTAGACGGGGACGAGCGACAAGACAAGAAAAAAGGGGAAATTTGGGTCTTGCTGTTAGTGCATCGTGTTGCTATGCGATGCCATCCAATGACTGTTGTGTACCTGCACCCCAGACAACGCCATCGGCAGACGGCCAGCCATGATTTACAACTGCAGACACTAAGGGGTTTCAATGAGTGATGCTGCTGCTGTACCTTACATAGGTACGAATACCTACACACCTTGATGTACCTAAGGACTGGGCTGCGTAGAAATGCATATTCTGGCTGCTTATGCGCGTGCAACTTTCACCGGTTGTTCCTGCTGTGTTTCGTGGGCGTCCGCCTGTGATGCCATCCCCTGTTGTTGCCCCTGCTTCCGTGCGGCGTGCCTCGCATGGGGGGGCCCTGGCGCCGTCGTGGCTGCGGATACATGTGGTCGTGCTAACTCATCCCTTGAACGTACCGCGGTACGTATCCCTACCCTCTACCGGTCTCGATGCCCGTGCTCCCAAGTAAGAGGCACCCACCTCAGGATTCCCATTCAGGAGCGTTCCTACCGTCTTGAGTATGGGAACGTGAGGTGTCGAATGGAAGGTGCTTTCCATCTTTACGGTACCTTACGGAGCACTGATGTCCCTGTATTAGCGTCGCGTTAGGTGCTAGACTCAACTCAGTCTGTTCCTTGCGTCCCCACGATTGGCCCAATAGCACCCTGTCCCAGTTGACAAGTGGAAAGTCACCTCTGAGTCCTCTCCCCTCCCTAGGGCCCCAAAGTGCCCAAGTGCCCCCCCTCTGGGAATTCAATCCAATCCAATTCAATCCAGCTGCACCATTGCACTATTGCACCACAACCAGTTCCAGCCCGGGGCGACTCAAGTGCATTGCTTCTTTCCCTCTTTCGTCTCCTCGTTCATCCTCTTTCGCTTGCCTCCCCCGGCCGTTTTGGCACCTGCTCATCACCTCCCCCTCGTATCCGATTCTGGGGGGAAACAGAGATCGCTTCCATTCTTTCTTTCCCGCTTCTCGTCTCGCTTCCTCTCGACCTTTTCTCTTTTCCCCCCCCTTCCCTCCTAGGCTTCCCCCTCCCCTCCTCGTGTCCGTGTTCCATCATCTGTTCCTCGCGACAGATCGGGACCAATCCTTAGCACAGGCGTCGAAAGGAACCGTTTCCAGCTGCTCTCGGCCTGAGACCTCTTGCTACTTACCTTACTGAGCACCAAGCACCGGCCGGCCAGTTTGAATAAACCTCAGGTTACCTCAGGTTGTCTCTCGATACCCTCGAATCCTCTTCTTTTTCTTCCAACACTCTTTTCGTCTTTCGACCTTCCCACTTGGCTGCTGCGCCTTCTTTGTTATCCGCCAGACCGCAGTGCCTAAAACGGACGCCCGCCTCCCGCTACCTTAGTGCGTACTGCTTGGATTCTAAGAAAGAATACTCTACCGATCCTCGAACCTGTTTATCCATCTGCAACACCAACTGAAAGGAAAGGCCCCTACGACGACATCCGTTTCCAAAATATTCGACCTCAGATTCCATTTCTGCTTCTTCTTTCGCCCATCTTCGACCCGCATCGAAACTTTCTCCCGTTTTCGAGCGTCTAACCAATCCTGACCTCATTGTTCTCATGCGCGGTTGGTAGCATTCTCGGCAGCCACACCATCAGCCGGCCATCGACCTGTTATTCGACCTCTATGTGGCATCCTCCATTCTAGACTGACGCCATAACCGATCCTTCGGCTAAGACACGACCTGCACCGCCAGGATTCCAACCACCGACCACTTCTTAGGCTCGCCCGACCGTTCATTCTGTCTGTTGTCGATTTCCCCAACGCATACGAGACCTGCAAAACAGCTGCATCGCATTGCATGGGAACTTAAAGTAACACGCGATTCGAAATACCGACCATGTCGCCGCAACGCCCAAACTTCATCGACCTTCGGGCGCCCTCGAGCATGTCCAACGTTTCGAGACCTTTGCGATCCCCTAGACTCCACGTCGCAGGCGAGGCACCCCCGGAATTGTCACCTCTCGATGCCTTCGCTCTTCAGAGTCGCCTGTTGGCGAGACAGCTCCAAGCTGCCGCGAGCGGCGAAGGAAGGCGCATGAGCAGACTGCCACCTCTGACGACTGAAAGTCCTTTGGTCGTACAGGGCCGATCAGACTACTTTCGCTCTATGTCTAATGATTCAGGATCCGACGAGATGCCACTTCCTGAGCTTCAAAACCCAGGATTGGGACTTAGAACCGAGGTAGAGGACGCCTTCCCGTCTGAGAAAGATCGACCGGTCTCGGTGCACCCTCGAATGAGCCGCATTCCGCCTACTCCCGACGAGAACGAGCCTCTCCCAACGCCCCTGCCCGACATGATGCGTGGACGAGTATTGGATTCGATGGAGGAGCACCAGGATGAGACGTACTTTGGCGCAAGAAGAGAGCAGTCCCCTACGCCAATGGAACACCCCACGAACGACTCTCACTTGCAAACCTCGCCTCCACGAAAAGACCATTCACTACCTCTGCTCTCGCCAGCACGGTCACGCGAAAATTCATTAAATGGATCGCCCGGCAAGTCAAAAGGACACTCGTTTGATGGACCTGGCTTGGCTCCTCCGCGACCGAGCTTCACAGCACGATCGGCGACCTCCATGTCTTCTCCCCTCGAAAATACTAGCGACGACATGAGCAACTCTGTTCAATCGTTGCCCCCGCGCAAACTTTCAAGTTGCAGCGCTTATGCGGCATCAAATGCGTCACCCAACCTGAACCCAGGTCCTTTCCAACGCTCACCTTCCGTGTGCTCCGACGCCTCCATGCCATTACCGCGACCCTCCTTCAACTTTTCGAGGCCCATGAGCCGAGCCGGCACACCTGGTTTGGAGACCCCAACGCGTCAGGCCTCATCCGACAGCCAACCGTCATTCATGTTTGCGAATGACGACTCTGCCAATACTCCTGTTAGCATGAACAGCGAGGGCTTCCCCGACCATGTGCATGACGATGGCAAGGCCGCTCCTTCGTACATTTATTCCAAGTACTCACTTCCCCGAGGCAAGATCGTGCAGCGATCTGTTCCTCTCGACCCTCACCCGCAAGCTTCCTTTCAATGGGAGCAGCCCGTGACTGCTCCAAGCAACGTGCAAGCTATCCAACGCGGAGCACCCCCATCTCCGCCAACTCGGCCATCTAGCTCAGCAGAGCCCGATAACCTCAGCTTGGGCAAGCCTTCTTTCGAGCAAAGAAAGCGCAGTCTCGATCGCGGTGGCCCGGCCCCGCAGCCATCCCCCAATCCCAGCCGTCCATCGACCGAGAGCCGGGCTTCAGAGGAGGATTCTCGGGGTCGTGCCCTTATTTCTCAGGCCCGCGATACTGCTGCTCGTGGTCAGACTGCCATGTCAACTACCACCAGTGATTCTAACAGCACTGTCAAGGCGGCTCGCTCATTGGCGTCAGGTGCCCCGACAGCTTCAGACATGTCTCCGGAGGAGCACCTAGCCAAGGGTATTGAATGCCATGAGAATGGCTCAGTGAAGGAATCCACCTACCATCTTCGCCATGCAGCGAAGGGAGGCAACCCGACAGGTATGCTTCTGTATGCGCTGGCATGCAGACACGGCTGGGGTATGCGGCCCAACCAGCGGGAGGGTGTTGAGTGGCTGCGAAAAGCAGCTGAATGCGCCAGCCTTGAAATCGCTGATGACGAGGACCATGTCAAGGAAGGAAAGTTTGTGGATGCCATGGAGAGAAGAACTCGTAAGGCACAGTTCGCGCTCAGCATCTATGAGTTGGGTGTGAGCCATATGAATGGATGGGGCATCGAGCAGGACAAGGCTCTTGCCCTGAGATGCTTTGAGATCGCTGGATGTAAGTTGAGATTGCATGTTCTTGACGCATTCATGAAGCTAATGGTGTGAACAGCTTGGGGCGATGTAGATGCACTGGCCGAAGCAGGCTTTTGCTACGCTCAAGGAGTTGGCTGCAAGAAGAACCTTAAGAAGGCCGCTGGCTTTTATAGACAAGCTGAGGCCAAAGGGATGAACATGGTCGGCAACAGCTGGTATGTTTTACATGTAGCCCTCCAAGGGAACGGAATATTGGTATTGACAAGTGCCATCACAGGATTCACAAGTCAAAGTACAATGACGAAGACAAGCCTGCCAAGAATGCCCGCAGCAAGTCGAGGACGCGCACCATGTTCGGCATTAAGACTGGCTAGCGATGAGTCTTTTTGAAGTTCTTTTTGCGCGGAGCGTCTAGCGGCATTTCATGGATCATGACCACTTGCATCAACACATCACCTTCATACCCCGCATCTTCGGAGTTTCGGAAGACTGGCTCTGCGGAGTGCAGCTGTTTTTACTGGGCATTTAAAAACTCAGAGGCTAGGAATTGTGCCATTTTCTGTATTCAACGAGGTCTCAAAAAGTGTGACCTAAGGGAGGGGGGAACAAGGACGCCTCTCCCTACTTTGTTCTAACAATGTGTGCGAGGGATTTGGGTCCTGGAGAGGCTCTGGGTTTGTGACATAGGGACAAAAAAGTGATGGGTCCTTTCTGCGTGTCCAGACCTTGATCGAACATACCCTTGATTCCTGTGTATATACCACTTTTGTCTTTTTTATTCTGGGAGGGCAGCAATGGCTCTCTTCATAGGGTACTTCATGGGGATTCCTTTTGTCGTACAAAATGCGTCTGCCTACCCAGTTGCGGTAGGGTAGCCAATGGATCAAATTTTTCGAAATCAAACTGTTGAGCAACCACTTTGAACTGGCATGAACTGCTAGCAAGGGGTCGAATGGCCGTACTAAGTCAAGAGGAATGGATGTTGACCAAAGTTCTGTGGAAGCATCCACAGTCAGCGGCCATCGAAGCCCCTGTTAAGTAAATTATCGATGCTGTTCCATGTCAAAATAGTGATGGGGAGTTGGCACTTTGGGGGGAAACGGTTTGCGTCAGTCTCGTCTATTGCCATCATTGTATTGGTACAGAATCTTCCCGATATGGGAGTACTTCATTCAGCACGTCTTAAGAACCCCTCCACCTCCAGTTGCCTCGTAAACATCATGCATCTAGGTATCAACCTCCATCGCTTCACCGGCCGGCACCTCCGTTACGCTCACGTAGCGGCCAATCTCGTTCTTCTTGATAATCTTCTCGTTGAGCACGGCCGTGGTGCCCTTCTGGAAGGCGTAGCTCTTGAGCTTAGCGCTACGCTCGTTGGGCTTGACGAAGCCGCGCTTGAGGGTGGTCTTGTCCTTTGTGATGATGGCGACGTCGACGTTGCTTCCGGAGCCGAGATCGTTAAAGATACCGGCCTGGATGGCATCGCTGGCGAGCTTGACGGCCTCGTCCTGGGTCAGGGACGGCTTCCACTGGGTCTCGAAGACGGACATGGCGGCCAGGGAGCCGGAGCCCATGGTGACGTAGGGGAGCTTGTCGGTGGAACCGTGGGCGTGGACGGTGAAGAGGTGGGTTCCCGTGGGGTCGACGCCGGCGACGACGAGGTAGGCACCAATGTGGCCCTGGTACTGGAAGAGGTGCTGCTTGAGCATGGTCATGCAGGTGACGACGCGGGGCTTGCGGCCCGTGGAGAGGGCGTGGAGCTCGAGGTTGGAGGATATGATTGCCGTGGTGAACTCGGTGTCGGCGGCGGTACCGGCTCCTGCACACCAAATCTGGGGAGCGATGTAGTGCAGCTTTTCGCAGTTCTTGTCGGCGACGATGGGACCGGAAGTTGCTCTTGTATCGGCGGCAATCTAGAGTGCACCTCGCTCCGTTAGCTGCTGCGGTTGAAGGCGAGGGATGCTATCGGGGTGGGAGAAGGGGGGTAGGGGAACCAGGCGAATCCCAAAGGTTGCCATCGCTGCTCAAAGACGTGAATCGAATGGAGGGTACTGACCACAACACCGCCGTCGAATATGCATCCTACGATGGTGGTACCTGTGCTCGTCGCCTTGGGGAGGGGGACACCTCGGGCGTGGAGGGCCGCATTGCGGTTGTAGTTTGAGAAGTCGAAGCCGGGCATCGTTGCTGCTGCCTTGTCTGGAAACCCCGGTCGCTATCCTATGTATGTAAGAAACCGTCGAATTCGTTCAAGTAGTTTGTGGTCGTCAGTCGTGGCAGTCGAAGTTGGGTTCGAGGAGAAGTCGTCGAGAGATGAGGTGGGGATCGAGTGAGGTTGAAGGTGGACGCGGTAAACGGTAAGGTAGAGCTGGATGACGAGGCTAAAAGCTGCCTTCGATGGTCGTTGCCGCTGTTTGGGGGGGCCTGGAAGCTCCTGCACGCCTGCAAGGCACCCTGACATTCGACGTAGCTTGCCAGAGGCAGCAGTGATTGGACAGAGAGAGCCCCAGATCTGAGCTAAACCGAAGCTCACCGCACGTGACTCGAACATTTGGAGGGATTGGCAGGCGACCGGCCGGGGAACGGGGGGATGGGCCAAGCAAAGAGCTGGGAATTTTTAGGTAGCCATTCCTCAAAAAAAGTCCCAGGCCAAAAGACGAGCCAAAGGTGCAAGATTCTTTTACGCATCTCGACTGGCGCCTGTCTCTCTGCTTTGCACCCAATTGCATCGCGTTTCCACGTGTGGCACGTCATAATACTTATTTCCTTCCAGATTTGAGGTGATTAGCCAGGCTTCATCCAGCTATTTTCCTTCTCTTTATCCCATAGCTGCCGGTTGCGACAGCAGCAACATAGCCAAACCTCGTGGCTCAAGCAACAACACCCCCCAAGCTGAGTGCAGCGCGAAGCACCCTAACAACAGCAAGAAATAGAAGAGGGGCAACAAGAAGACGAAAAAGAAAAGAAGCACAAGGGGAAAACTCTTATCAACAAACGCGACCCCTCCAGCGAATGCGAAGGACCACCCTGACTTACACGTCCTCCCTCCACAAGCCGGTCACGTCGCAACAGTCATGGCTTTCAGCTTCGCGAACCAAGGAAATGCCACGGCCGGAGGAGGAGGAGGACTGACTCAAGGCCCCGAGCTGGAGGTGATCCAGACCGAGGTGAGATCTGGACACCGACACCGTCGATGCCGCTGTCTTTTGAAAGTTCGAGGCTCACCATGTAAATCTATTCAGGCGCTTGGTTTCAAGTCGATTGCAGGCGACGCGAAGCTCCGACTCACATCCGCCTGGTCCCCGCCGCCCGCCGATACCGCCTCGCTCATCAGCATCGCCTCCCGCCGAGGCCTCGTCGCCGCCGCCGGACCCGACGGTATCACCATCACCTCGACCGACTCCGTGCGCAAGGGCTTTGAGGGTGAAAAGGAAGGCGATTCCGATGTCCGCGCGTTCCAGCCGCAGGGCAAGCTGCCCATGCCTATGAGGGTGTCGCAGCTCGCCTTCAGCGCCGACGAGAACTACCTGATCCTCTCCGCCGAGAGCGGAGGCGGTCTCGCGGTATACGAAGTGGAAAGCCTGCTCCAGGGTGCCACGAAAGCTGCGTTTGAGCTTGCGACGAACGGCGAAACTTTGAGGGCGCTCTTCCCGAACCCCACGATCGAGAAGGCGGAACTGTGCGCCATTGTGACGAATAACGGCAACCTGCACATGGCGAACCTGAAGGAGAGGTCAGTCAGCAATGCTCTGAAAGCACAGGTTAGCTGCATAAGCTGGAGCACAAAAGGAAAGCAGCTGGTGGCGGGCTTGGCGGACGGGACCATTTTCCAAATGACCCCTGAGGGTGAGGCCAAGGGCGAGATCCCGCGGCCATCAAACGTGTCGAATGCTCACGGTAGGTTCTCGAGCTGACGGAACGCGCAACCATGCTGAACTAATTGACTACAGTATCGTCTCTGACTTGGCTGGAAAATCATCTTTTCCTCGCCATCCACACATCAACTTCGGAGTCCCCCCCAAATTCAGTATACCATCTCATTACTAGAAAGCTGCCATCAGATTTCACTTTCCAGAAGCTGAACGACCCCGTCGACCCGTTTGGCGCCGAAAAGCCGCCTCATCACTCAATATTGAGGCTCAAGGAATTCCCTCCCAACCTTTCAGATCTCCTCATCGTGGCATCGACCGTCTCCCCAGACATCGGCCTCCTCAGTAGGGCGAAGTCACCCCTGACTTCTGATCATCCAGTCGACACCGCCGGCGTCTTTACCACAACAGAACTGGCCGATGACTCGAAACGTGCCTCTCTGCCCATGAATGACAGCTATGAGAACACCATCCCCATCGGTGTTGCCCTTGATCTCTCAGCCAAGGACAAGGTATACAAGCCCTTGCCCGCCGATGAAGAGATTGAAGATTCTCCCGGCCCAGTGCCGGGTTTGTGGGTGCTGAACAATGAGGGTGTACTGAGTTCATGGTGGATCATCTACGAGGACTCCATCAGGCAGGGCACGACATACCCTGGCATGGCCGCGGTTGATACTTCCGCGCCCCCTGCGGGCGCATCCAGCTCGACACCAGCAGCAGCACCGGTGACGGCCCCAGCTTCGAACACATCAGCATTTGGCGCTCCTTCGAGCACCCCGGCCTTCGGTTCGGCATCCGCCTTGGGCTCAGGCCAAAAGGCCTCACCGTTCGGTTCCAGTGGATCCAAGATCCCTACATTTGGTGGCTCGTCAGCCCTGGGATCTAAGGCTTCACCATGGGGCGCTGCGACGACGTCTTCCGCCGCTCCCGCCGCTCCCGCAGCCTCTGGATCTACGTTTGGCAGCGGTAGCCCCTTTGGGGGCAGCTCAGCTACATCTGGCTCTCCTTTTGCTCAGGCCTCCGCAACAAAATCAGCGTTCGGCACTGGCGGCTCTTTCGGAAGCCCTTCCGCCACAACTCCAGCTGCAAACAAATCAGCGTTTGGCAGTGCTAGTACCTTTGGGGCCCCTTCCGCTGCTTCATCGGATGCACCCAAGTCGACGTTTGGTAGCGGAAGCGCCTTCGGGACCCCCTCTGCTACGCCATCGGCTGCACCCAAGTCAGCGTTTGGCAGTGGCAGCGCCTTTGGGACACCAGCTGCTTCCTCATCAGGTCCGGCGTTTGGCCAGCCTTCATCAGTCGGTTTTGGTCAGTCGTCGTCGCTTGGACAGAAGTCCTCTCCATGGGCGTCAGGCGGAGCATCTGGTGCGAACACGTCTGCGTCACCGGCGTTCGGCCAGCCTAGTAGCTTCGGAACATCCGAGAATAAGAGTGTGTTCGGCGGTGCATCAGCAGCCAAACCTGCACCTGCGTCTGGGGGATTCTCTAGCTTTGCTAGCTCTGGTGGATTTGGTTCCCTTGCAAATAAGGGCAACGAGGGTGGTAGTGTTTTCTCCAGCAAGACTTCGTCAAGTCCATTCGGCTCTGGGGGTCAACTGGGCACGGCTTCTAAGGATACCGCGTTCCCTCCCCCGAGCTCGACTGGCCCGGCGACTAGCAATCCCTTCAGCCAGCCTTTCAAGTTGGGAACCACCTTCGAGGCAGATCCCTCTGCCAAGGATGATGATGAGAAGCCTTCTACCCCTGGCGGATCCTCTCTGTTTGGCAGCAACTTCGGCTCTGCACTGGGAAGCGCCGTGACGAAGACTCCTCCTAAGGAAACGACCACAGAATCGAACGAAGAAACACCGAAGCCCAAATCGGTCTTCAGCCTTGGCCAATCCACAACGCCGAAAGAGACTCCAGCGCCTTCCAAATTTGGGTTCCCACCGACTTCAACATCAGCCCCCAAAAGCGGCTTGTTTGGATTCCCTTCTCAGCCAGCGACTGGAGGTTTGTTTGGTTCTGCGAAGCCGGCAGAGAAGACACCAGAGGTCAAGACCGAGTCCAGCACTCCTCTTCCCCCTGATACGACTAGCAAAAACTCATATCCTCTTGGTGATTCCTCGTCTTCTTCGGGCACCGGAAATGTTCCTTCAGACAGTGGAAGTAAGGCTTCACCTCAAGTGGACAATGCGCCTCTGCCTCCCGATTTCCTTACTACGCCAAAGGCAACGTCAACGAAGGCAGCCAGCGCTGCTCCGCTACCGCCTGATTTCCTCAAGCCTTCAAAGCCACAGGGAAGCACTACTCCGGCCGACGAAGCTCCTCTCCCACCCGACTTCCTCACGCCCAAGCCTGGCAAGACCGCAGTGTCTGCCACGCCTTCGGCGGCGCTTCATTTGCCAGCAGACGACCAGTCCTCGCCCGAGGAGCTTGAACGGCCGAAATCTACTGCACCTGCTGCGGCTCCGGACTTCCTCAAGATGCCCAAGCAATCTTTGTCGTCGGCAACGTGGTCGTCTACCCCTCAGAACACGACACCTGCAGTAGACGATGCTCCGTTGCCGCCAGACTTCCTCACTAAGCCCAAGGAGCCTGTCTTCCCTTCCATTCCGACTGTGCCTGATAGTGAGCATGACACCGATCTTGAGGATGAGGACGACGACGATGAGTCTGAGGGCAGCGGCGTCATTGTCTCCAAGGATCAAAGCCCATCCATGACGGCGATGACCCCTACGGCGGGCATGACCCCGCAAAGCTCGTTCGGTGGTGTTAGTAGCAGCACCTACTCCGTTCCACGGACGGAGGAAGAGAGACCGCGGGCATCGTTGTTTGGTGACCTGAGCCGCAATGCTCCCATGTTCCCCCGACCGTCCCAAACCAGCCCTCGCTCTCCCAGCCCAGTCCGTGGCGCTGTGCCAGGCCGCATCATGCGCCAGGAGTCTGCTCGTTCGGTTAGTGCCCCGGGCATGGCATCTCAGATTCTTGCAGCCCAGAAAAAGCAGCCTTCGCAGATGGGGTCATCCATTGTCGGGAACAAATCCAACGATGATCACTTCATTGCTCAGCAAAGACTTGCGCGCCAAAGGCGGCAGGCCGAAGAGACCAGGGCGCTGGAGGACGAGGAGGATGATGAGATTCAGAAGATTCTTGCTTCCAAGATCGAGCCCACACTAAAGCTTGATGACTTCATCGCCCACTCAAACGTTGTGCCGTCAGCCAAGGAGACCATCCCGGCCCAGGTGGAGGCAGTGTATCGCGACATTAACTCGATGATCGACACCCTTGGTCTGAATGCTCGCTCTCTTGCCAGCTTTCTCATGGGGCACGA